AGTAGTTGTGAAACATGTGTTACCCAAAGAAATTGTCTCTTCCTGGCTTTCTCTTTCTCTCCGACTACTCGTTCTCTGTTCGGTTCTCCCAGGAAACAACCTAAAAAGAGGTTCTGCGTACAATTCTCTTCACGTTTTCAGCTGATGACCGAGCCTGATGAAATATTTCTGGAAAAGGAAGCTGCGCAGATCGAAGCAGAACTTGGTGAGGAACACCTTGTACGTATGCTGCAGTGTTTAACTTCCAACTCACCAGAAGCCAGTCGAGGCCTTGTCGAATTGCACACGCAGGTAATGATTTTACTTTGGCCCTTGCACAAAATTTTCAGAAACTTCTCAAAATAGACTACATACTTAGTTAGCTCTGAAAGTGTGCCGGCTAGCTGCTGGCTCATCTTAGAATACAACAGAGACGGCTTTTTTCGGCGCCCTAGTCACATAGGTCATTATACTCTCTTGTAGAAATGTAACTGTTTTATTTTTAGTGTCGGAATGTCGTATCGAAAAGGCCACCGATCAAAACGGAGACAGAAAAGCCAAAACAGAGACGAACACCTTCACAGGGAGCGACCAGAAGTAAGTCATTAAATCAAATGTAAAAATATAAGAATATGAGAAAAATCGGAGGGTTCATTGCCTTGTCATGAGTTTTCAGGAAAATAAGAACTGCGACTCGTACATCTAAACCACCAAGCGAGGGGGCCTTGCTTAGCCCGCTGGAAAATGGCGGGGTCTCAGTTAGCAGCGACCGACCTCGTCTTCCACCAACTCGGTGAATTTTCCCTCTGTGGCCAGCCCTGTAGCCTTCGCTCAACTTTCTGACTATGCGCACATCCGACGACGGAAGCCTCCTACTTGTGCACTCTTCACCCTTGATCAGCTTGCTTCCTCACCAACCTCCGCTCTCGCGCCGCCGCGACGCGGTTGCCTCTCACCGCCACCCCCCCCCTGCACCTTCCCGTCTCCCGGGCACATCGCTCACACCAGAAAGCTCCCCCCTCCCTTTCCTTTTTTTCCTTCCCTCCTTTCCTTCCTTCTTCTCTTCCCTCCTTCTCCGACTCCTTCACTATCTTTAAATTCCCCTCTCAACCCTTCCCTGCGACGTTGTAGAGTTCCCCGTGAATATTACCGCCCTGGACCCTCGCAAAGCGAGGTAGCATCGTCTGGCTTGACCAGTCTGCCCCGTAACCCTTCACGCTTCCTTCACTGCACGCCTGGACAGCGCGCACGTTGGCAAAATACTGCCGGTTAAACAATGACCGCGTGAGATATTCGGAGAGAATTAGAAGCCTGGGCAGGAGTTCGCATTTGCAGGGTTTTTCCACAGCGTGCTGGTGTGCCTGCATCCTCCATTTCCAGATGAGGAATGGATACATCATTTCGTTATTGTGACTCATCGTTGTTCCGAGTAGCCATGGTTTAATGTAGCGGAACGTTCAATTTGAACGGATTGCCGAGCTCTTGGCTCGTTGGAGTAGTGCTCATCCTACATAAAAAATGCTCTTTGGAAATTGGACGAGGGCATCGCCCTTGATCCACGTGCTCCCTGTTTGGTTTCAGCAGGGGGATATGGCCTTCAATTTTCAATGGAAACAAAATTTTGAGCAATAGTGGTTGACGTGGAAATTCGAAAGGAATGTGCCATGAGAGGGTCCCTACAACGGGGATGGTTTCTAACGTACTCACTGCAGTTGAACGAAAAGCTCCCCAAGGGTGAGTGAAGTGGAATGGATGACTTTTACTTCACTATGATGTGCGCTAAATGATCTGATTGAAATTTCTGAAAACTTTCCGGGCACCCCAGTGGTAGTACCGGAGTTCACTGGCGGCTCCCACAACATCTGCATAATTCTTCTAGAACGATATGAAAATTCCTGGAGAAAACTGTATTTTTTTCAGTGGCGAACAACCAAGCAGTAGCATCACGTACGCAAAAGGTTCGAACAGAGGTAAGTTTCTCTCACGTCTGCTTTTATTTTTTAGTCACTTAAATAGAAGTCGTGGTAAAAAGTGCTCCAAAGGTGTACCAATAAGCTTGCATCGAAGCAGCTCTTCGTTTTTCTAGACATTTAGATGAATTTAGGCAGGTAGATGGCACTGATTGGGACATTACCCTATAGATATTCGATTTGGTAGGCTTTAGTATCAGAGTACATTCTGGCGATGAGGAAAACTTTTGCAAAACACGTCCTCTCCCAGAGCTTCTCTTCCAGTACGACCAATTCGGCACATTAAAAATCTTACAAACTTTTCAAAAAGTCCATAAAGCGGGAAAAAAGGGGGGGGGTGATGGGTGGGTAACACATCCGATCAACTAGTGGTTTCACGGCACCGGGAGATATGTGGAGTGAATATCGTAGCAGTCAGTCGTGCGATGTCAGGAGGCATGAAATGAGCCCACCCACGACGTGTCCTAGCGCTGGATAATCTCTCCCTGAACCAAACCCTCAGCGGTCACTATTGGTAGGAAACCATCGCAGTCGCCCCTCCTGAACATCTCCTAGTGATTGTAACGATACCAGCCATAGTAAGTATAGGGCGCATGAAGCGACGAAAGCCAACAATCAGAAAATTTTTCCCTGACTTTCCCCCCCCCCCCCTCCCCGACCGACCAAAGGCGGTCCCCAACACCTCCGCCGCGAGGAACATCAGGAGTCGTCCTGGCTCCACTCTTTACCAGCTACGGTGCGCGCTAGAAATATGGCATGGTTATAGCGCTTCTATGAGCCGTATTAGTTACTACCGCTTCCTTTCACCCTTCATTTCCCCTTTCCAGCTCTACATCATTTATGGATGTCAGGTGTACACTAGCGCAGCTAGTCATAGAGCGCCATTTGACTAGGCTACCTACTGCCGCGAGCCCACTTTAGACCTTCCTTCTGCCTTCTATAGGGCGCAAGCTCTCATGAAGGATTCTTGAACGCTTTCGATCGAATTTCACGACTATTAGCGACTGAAAAAAGCCTCACAGAATAATATAGCAAATTTTGGACTGATTTCTTAATAGAAATGATAGATATTTCAGAAACCGCGAATCATGATAACAAAACGAACTCACACGTTGGTGCCGCACAATGTACAGAAGAATATTGCAGCATGAGCCTTGTAAATATCAATTATTTCTTGTGTCATTTGACTACACGTCATTTTTATACATTTGTTCATAATGAACTTTTTGCTCACTGATTTCAGTCGCCGTACTGTGTCATTGTGGTCACAAATTCATAGTGTTACCGTTGTCGCCTGTTTAGCGGAGGGGAGGGGGGAGGGGCAAAAAGAAAGACATTTTGTTTATCTGGTTGGAAAAATGACACTTTGCTTATCGACAGCATCATGAAATTTTACTCTGTCCAGGGTAGCAATGTACAGTCCTCATCATTGCGGACTGTTGGCCTCGTTGCTCTACCAATGGCGATCGGGTAAAGATCGAGGGAGCAACCAATGATGGAAACGCCGCAGGTGCGAGACGCTGATTGCGACCCGACAATTGTGGTGATGTAAAGTGTATATATAAAAACCCTCAGTAAAATGTGCCCTAAACGTGCTACAAGCGGGAACAACCACTCCATCCAATCTCTCACGATCACAACAAGTGATGCATCATCATCCATCATCCCAGTCGGGCCTAGGACGGCCTACAGTATTCGCGTGAGCACGAGGCAGCTCTATAACTCCTACGGTGCACTTGCGTACAGGTTTCCGACATTAGAGGGTACTAGTCGTCCAGCCATTCGTACAAGGTACTATGTCCCATGATTTATTTTCAA